TCATTGAGGCCGGCTAGATCAGGAATGATCACAGCCGTAACAAGTACAAGTACTAGGTGCGGAATTTTACTTGATGCGCATCCCAGACAACGCCTGGTCCAGCCCCGAGTTAGTTTAGCGCATCTACCAAGTGGTCCGTCCCGGGTGCACAGCTAACCCAGAGGTAGCCAGACTCAAAGTAGCATGTAGTTACTGAAGCAATAATTGCATCAAATAAATTCATAAGCAAGTCTCCGCTACTGCCACGACGATAGAGAGCCGTGTAAACAAAGGTCTCACCTTTGAGCGAGAAATGAAAAGAAAACAGCCAGTCATGAGTAGGGCCTGGATGGTAGCCTGGGAGTCAGAGATCTTAAAGCCCTTGAGGAAGAGTACTGAGAGGCTATAAGCGGAGATGAGGGCGTTGATGGCGAGGATTTTGAACATCTGCAGTGTTGTCACCAGCGTACACCGGCCCTGACGAATAATGTGACAAACTGCCAAAGGAAGAAGAAACAACAGTGAAGCTAGGAGAGGCAAAATAGACAAAGATTTCGTGAAATGTATCACAATGGAGGAATTAACTGATAAGGACCGTTGACAAGTAGATTGCCTGTGGGATTTTCATTTTGCCGGCAAAAGAAGCTTATGTTGGCCCACTCTTATACCCCCAGTCCCAGCATTTTATCCTGCAAAAACGGGGGTTATAGAGTTTTGGGGGGTGGGGAAATAGGATAGGCAGAGAAGGAAATCATTACAGCATAATTCTAATCTAATTCCATCACGCCAGGGTCACGGTTTTTGAACAAGTCCCATTCCACTTGCCTTTAAAACTTACTCTGGGTTAAACGGCTGCGTTTGCACGGCACTCACCGCACAATCCTCACTATGAGCAATCTGAAGCGCATTTAACCTATCCCAGTGCGCTAAAGCCAGTGGCTTGAAGGGTTGCCAACTCATGGAATAATTCGGCCCTCGTCTCACGACGGTGAGTCAGACTGTAATGGCTCCTGCTAACCGTAGACTCTATGGCACTTGTACTGTGTTGTGATCCAGTCTGGTAGCGGAACTTCAGACTTTGTAAGTCGTCCAATGTCCCCAAAACAAGTAGCAGAGCGCAGTTCTCAGCAGCTTGGCACAAGAACTAAAAATTTACATAAAAGCCGAGCAAAAAAACAGATAAGCCGAACCCGATACAGCATTTGCGGACTAAAGATTTTGCCGTGGCCTGAGAACACCTGTTCGAAAAACTTATGTTGGTAACAGACTGACAACAAGTTTTTAACGTGTATCGAGGTAGCTACATACTCTGCTCAACTCGTGATCTTCGCCTTGTAGCTGCATACGTTAGTGTGTTTTACCGTGAGCCTACTTAATTTGCAATCACGAACCTAGAGTACAGACGTGTCATTTTTTCTGTATGCATGTAACTCAATATTGCGCGATCTGATTCGATTGCCCTGTTCGGGGGAACCGAAATGTCTACAAGGGCAGTAGTAAACCTTTTGGACGCCTGGGTGAAAAGTCGCCGCAAAACAAAACATGACAGAAAATGCCGGCATGGCGAAACTCAACAAACGGTTCACTTGAATACTATATGCGGCATTGCCCGCCGGCCGGCAAGGTTGATCATCTTTCAACTCCCGAACGGACGCGCAGGCGATGTCGC